TTAATTTTTTTTTTTTTTTTTTTATTTTGAAAATGGGTTTAGAGGTACAAAGTATGTCAGTGGGCAAACAGATGAGTACTTTTTCTACTCTCTGCAAACTCGTTTTCTTACAGTGTTCAGTAAAAGAAAATGATATAAGCCCTGCCTATACCAGATTAGACTTAGAAGAAACGTAGCTATACACCACCCCAGGTAATTATTGAAGGGCTGTGCAGGAGAGGTTCAAGGACCCTGGTGTCCAACCCTTAAACCTTTTTGGTACTTGGATGTTGAACCCTATGCAAACCTGAGAAGTGGGAGCATTGATTTTCAAAGAGGCTTTAATGACTATTATCTTCATCAGTCTCCCATAACAGGTCCTTATTTTATGACTGTCGTATGCAATAGGTTTCCAGTCTTCATTAATACCTGACAGTGTCCTAGCATGCCTGCAGTTTGTCAGTCTTTTCTAGCATTACGTACTGAATAATATGTATGACACTTTGGTGCTTTCAGGGGCCACAGTTTTGGCCCTTATACCTCATAAGTTCATAACCGCTGTTCTAGAAGAAGGGACATAACCTCCTACCTTGGCATTCTTGTGTCCTCCAATGAATGCAGTGAGACATAGATCTTTCTTTCTGGTCTATTGAGGAATCAAAGGAAGTTGCCTACATGTCGCCACAGGATAACTCCTTTGCCACTACACAGATTAGCAGCCCTGCATCAAGCCCTTTTGGACCAAGATATCCCTTCCCAACTCCTGTGGCACAACAATCTTGAGAATTTTTGTTTAACTTGTTCATTGTTCCCAAACCCAATTGGGGCATCCAATCCATCTTGGATCTCAAAGTTCTACATGTCTTCATTCAAACTCAGAAATTATGTATGGAATCCACCCGATCTATCATCTTCTTTCACCAGGTAGACTTTCTGGCTTCCCCATTTGAGGGGATGGTTAGTGTGGACTTTGTAGGACAGTGTGGCTTTGAGCATCTAGATGTTACACAAGTTCATCCATATCCAAAATCTTTAAAAATCAGTGATGACACAGACTCCTTGTTTGGAATATGTGGGCCTAGTACTGGACATGAGTGCAAGCAAGAGTGTTACTTCCACAAGAAAAACATCAGACTTTGCCAATTCAGGAGTCGGGACCACTTTGCGTTTTTACATGAGTCTAGAGCTTAAATGTAGCCTTGTTTTGAGGCAGTCCCTTTTTTGCCTCGTTTCACTCCAGACCTCTGCAACACAACATTCTGTGGCTGTGGGATAAGTCAATGAGGCCTCTGTACAGAGTGAATTGTTTGGCATGGAGGACAAGCTGGTCCATGGCCTGGTGGTTTAGGAATCTGGCTATGGAATCAGAACACTGGCTTTAATGGCATGGCTGAGGAACAGGGGCTTTTGAGTCTGAGCTTCCTACAGTGCTAAAAGCTATGAAGTCTACTTCTTGAAAGATTTCATATCGGGCATTGAAAGCATACTTCCATCTTTTTCTGTGATGGTTTCTCAGTGGCACAAATCTCCACTCCTTCCCGTAAGGCCAGCTTTTGTCTCTCTGCACTATCAAGGACCAAGTTGCTGCCCTTTCTATTTTGCTTGAGTGAATGTTGGCCTCTTAATATTTGCGTAAGACCTCTTGTATAGGGGGTTTCCCATGTAGCTCCCACTTTCATTCCCCTGTGACTCCATAGGATCTAAATGTTTTTTGTTTGCACTTTTGAAACTGTCATTTGAATCCAATTAGAGATTCTCTCTGCTCTGATCCCCAAGGTGGTATTCCTTGTAGCCATCCCTTCTTTGAGGCTAGTGTCTGATCCTTATCCAGCAAATAACCCTTTCTGATTTTGTATAGGGACAAGGAAGTGTTGAGACCGAGGGCTTCCTTCCTGCCCAATGTAGGTCAAGAGGCATGGCATGCACCTGCCATAACGTGCTTCAGACAGGATGTACACAGAGTGAACAATCTGAAGGGAGAGGCTGAGGGCCTCAGAATTGTGTGTCATGTTCTTAGAGGTAATCGCAGTGTGCACAAACACTGGCTTAAGCCACCAGCTCTAGTAGAGCAAGCAAACTAAGAAAGTGAATGTGAGGTATAACACTCGCATGGTCATGCAGAGAGTCTTGCCATGCCTGATGTCAGATGTGCGTAGAACAGGAATGGTATTGACTGCTGACACAGGAGTGCAAAGAACAATACATTTCCAAACTGTTTTATAACTGTGGAGCTTAGTTCTGCTTCATTTAGAAACGGATTACTTATTACCTGAATGTTTGCAGACAACTCTGTATTGTGTTTTTTACATCTTTTTTTTGTTTGTTTGTTAGGGGCTGTCTGTTCTATGGACCTCCTGGTACCGGAAAAACCTTGGTAGCCAGGGCCCTGGCCAATGAGTGCAGCATCGGTGATAGACGAGTTTCTTTCTTCATGAGGAAGGGGGCTGACTGCTTAAGCAAATGGGTCGGTGAATCTGAACGTCAGCTGCGACTCTTATTTGACCAGGTGAGGTGATATATTCTTTATGTGGAATCTACCCTTATTTGGAATCTACCTAAGGGAATCTACCCTTAGTTGGTAGTTCTCAATGCCATAGCTTTGCACCAAACTCATTAGACCTCTGTTCCTTAATATTGGACACTGCTGCAGGTCTTTACTAGTCTAGGTGGGTCAAATGTACACAATTTGCAGGATTCAGAATGCAAGTCTTCGTTTTATCAGCCATTTTACAAACCTTGGTCGATGTGCGCTCTGTTTATCTTGGGTCAAGACTGGCCAGTAATCTCATGGCTCTTTATGCCCAGGCAAGGCCTGGCTTGTTTTTGAAGGTGCATCCTATAGGACTGTCATCCTGATCCTTACTACCTGGAAGATCAGGATGAGCTAGAGCCAATGTGTTTATATAATTGCTGGTATGCTAATGCTAGTTAGTGTACAAGTGATAAAATGATCTTGTTCCTTGTTAGTGTACAAGTGATACAATGATCTTGTTCCTAGTTAGTGTACACATTTAAAATAAAAGAAGCCAGCAATGACTGCTTCTAATGGTTCTATATGATATTCACTTTATCGCTTGGCAGTTTGTTGGAAATGTCTAATTGTGTAAACTAATCGTGTGATTGAAGTCTAGGTCATGCTAAGTCTTGTAAAGCTGAAGGATGACTATTTTACTAGTATGCAACATTAGACTCTGCTGTAAACTTTGATGTTTTAATCTCAAAAACATGTTTGGATGCAAAGACCATTCTCAATTGGGAGATGTGTAAGAAGCCTCTTGCACTAAAGTGCATCTATTCATTTTTTAACGGCTGCTATATAGGAGTCCAATTCATTTAATCCTGTCTGTGGTGCACAATTTTGGCTCACCCAGCAGCCATGTTGTGGTTTTGGCCTCTAACTCTTAATAGCTTCTCCCTTTTCAGTTTTGTCAAACATTTTTTTTTTTTTCTCTTTTCCTAGGCTTATCAGATGCGTCCATCAATTATCTTTTTTGATGAGATTGATGGCTTGGCACCAGTCCGATCAAGCAGACAAGACCAAATTCATAGGTACTTTATCAAACACTGTTAGATTTTCATGCAAAGTCACTTTTTGTAAAATCAATACCTGGGGATATAAAGCTGAAAGCACTCCGTGAAAAAGTATTAACCCCCGCAGTGGGGCTAGCCCCTGCACTGCAAGGGTTAACTGCTTGTTTAGTATAAGATATACTCACCTGAACCGTGGAGCCGGCTTGTTCTTGAGGTGCCCATACACCTTGCGATTATCGTTGGGAAATCGAACACCATCGGGTTTTTAGTACCATAATTGTCCAGTAGATGGGGAAGTGAACGATAAGAATTACTGTACAGCTGCCTTAATTTCCTCGATCGGTAAGGTTGGAAACATCTTTCGAATCGTACGAAAATCGATAAATCAGTGGGGGTTTTTGTACGAAAAAAATAAATCGCAACATGAATACTGCACGTGTGCAAACGAAAATCCATTCTGTCGATCACAATTGGGTCAGTTCGTATTGCTAACAAACAATACTCGAAATCCATGGTGGTCTATGCATATGGGGTATTTGAGCGCAACGCGGATGTCATTCCGATGAGGGCACGAAAGAAATCGAACGATAATCGCAAGGTGTATGGGCACCTATAGACTGGTCCTTCCAGCATCTCTGAGTAACTTTGATTCTTGAACCTAGACAAAAACAAACACTTGCCCAATGCAAGGGTTAAAAAAAAAATATTTTCCTGGAGTTCGTCTTGAAGCAAAGAAAATAATGAAGATATTGGTGCCCTCGGCAACCTATCAGTTATGTTTGGTAGTTGAGCAAACATTTTTTTAATTTTTCCTGAGTTTCTCCCATAAGCATACCCCCCTTTTTTTTTTTTGAGAGAGCTAAAGAATCATTTAACAGTTGAGTACAGAAAACGCTTTAATCATTTGATGCTTTCCCTCTGAAACCTTTTTTTTAGTTCGATTGTTTCCACATTGCTGGCTCTTATGGACGGTTTGGACAGTCGAGGAGAGATCGTTGTGATCGGAGCCACCAATAGACTTGACTCTATTGATCCTGCTCTAAGGCGGCCTGGACGTTTTGACAGAGAATTCCTGTTCAACTTGCCTGACAGAGATGTAAGCATGCCAGTGTTTTTACAATGTGTCCATCTTCAATCCCACAAATCTACATGCCCTTATTTTATGTTACAGCTGCAGAGATGCTGAATTGCACATCTTACATTTTATAGCATAAAGTACTGCTCTACTGTTTGAGGAATTGACTGGAAAATTTTAAGGCAATTGGGGATTGCAACTGAAGGCCATGAGGAGTAGAAAGTCCAGCTGTAGAAACTTGCATTCATATGAAAGGATTGGTGTAATGATTGCACATATACGAAGATTAAACGGAAATCAATGCCTCAGTGTCTTTTAAATAGTCACTTGAGGATTGTGTACTTTTATATTTGACAATGATAAACATGTGATGCGGTCATGGTCGAAGGCCGCACGCCGCAACCATGTCCTGCAGTATTCTCAACTTAATTGTCTGCCAAGGGATATCCATAATGGGTTTCTTTTCATTTTGGTAAAAGGTGGATGTCTTGGGGTACCAAGCCTGGATGGTATTGCGAATTGTGGTGGGATGTTGAGATTAAGCAATTATTTTGCTTCAATTGTGCCATGAGCATCTAAAGAACCCATCATGCACAAACCTTCCACAATCCCAAGAATAGCATAAATGTGACCCATATAATGTAGCAAAATGTTTTTCGGTCAGAACTTTCTTGCTGCTGAATGTCCCTAATTGCTTGAGTCCCAGCCAGCGTTTTAAAGCGGCGTTGGGAATCGGTGGGTGCCAGCAGTGGTTAAGGCTCATACAGACTGCATCCAATTATCAGCTTCCTAAGCTTCTACAAATCCCTCCATAGGAGCACACTGTGGAAGTTAAATGAAACTCTATGCTTCTGCATAGTGTTTACATCCAGAGCCATCACCGCACTTGTCAGTATGAAGTCTCAGACAGAGCTGCCGTAGCTCTTTCAGGCTTTCCTAGCCAGCAATAGATCGCTATTAGAAGTGATCTGCTGCTGCATAGGGGTGAGGGGAGGTCAGGGTCCGGTCTCTACTATCTTATTCCCTCCCAATATGAATCTCTAGGTCACAATGGCGGTAGATCTGCATAGCATTTGCATTTACTGCACAAGCATCAAATGGTCACCTAAATTAACACAACTGAACTGAGACATCCCTGAAATGAGAAGCACTCTAGGATCCAAGGGGATTTAGGGGGAAAGGATTGGGGACTTGCATGGTTATTCAATTAATTAACAAATTGAAGCTTATTGGATGTTTTCACAGGATGGCCATGCCACAGAATTTAGTACATACCTAATTTTTTGCTTCTTTTGTCCCGGCAATGCAGAGTGCATTCATAAATGGTTGCTATAAACCAGTTGCATATGTTTGTGCATATCTTAGAACAACCCCTTCTGCCATGCTCTGCAAATTGCATTGGTGAGGCTCCAGCACCCGGTTCCATTTTAGAGAAGGTAGAAAACCCCTACATTATAATGGCCTGCTGACCACTGAGGTGATGGGAAAACCTATACGTGTCAATGCTTCCTGCATATTAGTGCAGCCATCTGTTGAGATATGAAAGTGGAAGCATCAATTTTTCATCCGATCCTCACAGAATATTTGTAACCTTTTCATGTTTTTTTGGTAATTGGTATTTACCTGCTTAACAGGCACGTCTGGAAATTCTGAAAATTCACACAAAAGAATGGAATCCACAGCCATACGAAAGTTTTCTGCAGGAACTAGCTGAGAAGTGTGTTGGTAAGAACGGCTTTGTATTACAGGACAAACATAAGAATGGGATGCGCTGCTTTGGTTATAATCCGATTTCTGCTTTGCAGGGTATTGTGGTGCGGACGTAAAATCTCTGTGCTCCGAAGCTGCCTTGTGCGCTTTACGCAAGCGTTACCCTCAGATTTACACAACAACAGATAAGCTGCAGCTCGATGTTTCCTCTATCAAAATTACTGCTAGGGACTTCATGTTTGCAATGCAGAAAATTGTGCCTGCCTCACAGAGAGCTGTCGTCTCCCCTGGACAAGCACTTTCCTGCATCATCAAGCCTCTGCTTCAGAACACTCTGAGCATCACCTTGAAAGCATTGAAGAAAGTTTTCCCACATATGGAAGATGGACTTAAACCTAAAGAGCCTGGTGAGTGACATTTCTGCATTATATTATCCCCTACTAAACTTGCCATTTATGTATGGGATTTTGGACATGGGTGACCCGGGTATAAGTCATTTAGTAGAGTACCAGCCAGATTAATAGCCCGCTATTTTAGTGTCGTCGTCCCCCACACACACGCTCTATTTGCATCACAGTGGTGCTTCCTCTAGCCTCTTTAAGGCGCTTTTGTCTACATACAGCCAACACAGGGCACAATTAGAAGACTGTTGTCGCCCCATAACGGGAAGTGCCTGACAAGGGCCTACATGATGAGATTACCAGGTATTCTTTTAATGAAAACTGTAAATCTGGGGCAAAGGACCTTTTTATTATACATTAGGGGACATGGCATATAATTTGAATACACAGGATTATGCTGCTGCCTTCAGGAGAATGGACACTGGTAAACAAAGCTGTAAGGACAGCCTCCCACTTCCACCATTTCTTAGTTTTGTGCTATTGTCCTAGGAGATTAGATCTCTTCTCTCTGCTCTGATAGAAGCAATCCTATCCTCTTTGCATTTATCAAGACATTTTTCTTTTGCAAGATTATTCAGTTGCTGCAGAGCCACTGGGGTTCGCCCTGCCGCTTTCCAGTTTGCGCTGCAGGGACTGATACAGTCACATGTTTGTATTTGGCACCATTACTCTAGGGCCTTACTGCCCTTGTGTCCCCTTTGACTCTGCACTGTCTGGGGTATTACACTGTGCATGTGCACCCCATTTCTCTGGACCATGCATGGACCTCTCAACACTTCCCAATTTCTTCTTTGCTGCATCCACCCTACTATCCTTCAGATGTGTATTGGGCTCTCTGCTGCCTTCAATGTCAAGGTTGCAACCCTTCCTGCTCCCACAGTTTCTTGTGACTGGCCTGTGTGATCGTATGGCAAATCATAAGCGCAATTACTGTAATCCTTGCCAGCTTACAATGCACTAAGTTCCAGCTTGGTTTGCCTTCGAAAGGATCGAATACTGATGGCCTGAACCACTGTCCCCTGCGAGAGTTGCAGCACTCCTCGGAGTCCTTCTTAACCCTTTTTTTTTTTATCCAGAGAAATTCTCAGCTACCATGTCTGAGTTTGAGAAAATCTTTGCCGTGTTTGCATACTCAGAATGCAAGGGCCACAAGTGTACATCTGTACCCTCTATTCCGGAGTCCATCTCTGACTTCCCTGTAGCTGCAGCTGTTTCTGCACGGCCAGCAGAGGATGATGAGGAATGTACCTTATCGATGTTTGATGACATTGTACATGAGGGTCTGTCAGATGGCTTAACCCTGAAACTTAAGGTTACCATTTCTGTCCTCACTGATGCAGTGCACATGTCTCCACTCCTGGAAAAGCTTGTGTCTGCCATACCTGTTACCAGCCTCGGTTCTCTTTAAAAAAATCCAAAGCCTATTGAAACTTTCCCTTTACACTGATTATTGGAATCTGTTTTGCATGGTGATTGTCCTAATCCAGAGAAACATTTTTAATCTCCATAGTGTTTTTTTTGTTCAATATCCTATTGACGAGAGTTTCCTTAAAAAGTGGGCCTTTTAATATCTTGGCAATACTTCCCGCTGTAGAGGATATCCCGATATTTAAACATCTGGTGGCTAAAAGCCCTTTCCGAGGCCTTATTCTCTCTTGCCATTGCTAATGTCTCAAATTCTGGTCTGTGAAACAGCAGTACAATAATAGCCTTTTGCACATGCCCTTTGTGAGGGAACACTTCTTTGGTAAATCCATAGACACCTTTAAGGACATACCTGTGTGAAGAGCAGCTTTTTACCACCCGAAAAAAGCCTAGGCCTCAATTCACTGTCTGGATGTGGTATGTGCTGTGCAAGTGTATCTCGGCTACAATTTCTTTCAGATAGACTGATGGTTTTTGTCATTCCTGTCGGTCTCCATAGGGTGTAACCTGCTTGTCATTCCCCTATCTCCAGATGGGATCCTCCAACGCCTCATTCATGCATACAGAATTGCAGGCAAGGTTTCACTCTTTCCTGTGAAAGGGCACTCCACTAGATTATTTAGTGTGGCATCGGCTTTTCTACATTGGGTACCTGTTTTTCAGGCCTGCAAGGCTGCCACCTTGTCTTTTTGTTCACATGTTTGATCAGTTTTACCAGGTTGATGTTTGGGCCTCGTCTAATGCCTACTTTGGTCTTAAGGTTCTTCAGGAGGATCTGTGCATTCTATTGAGTCCCTTACGCTGTCCTGTTGTTGTTATGTGAGCATTTTATCCTGTTTGCTGTGTTCCCCACCCCCTTAGTTGGGCTGCTTTTAGAGGTCTCTCAATAGATTATAGAGAAAATAGGAATTGTGTACTCACTGTTGAATCCATTTCTCCGAGTCTGTAGAGCCACATGGCTCCCACCCCTCATATGCGGTTTTTCCCCTCTTGAAAATGCTTGCTATAACTGAGCAGGTGAGAAGAGATGAAGCCTCCTAAGGCATGTTGTCCATTTCTCCTGTAGGCGGCAGTAAAACCATACGTTGCTTAACATCATCAAGCAGTGTCTCTCAATGAAAGACCAGAACTGATTTTTTTTTTTTCCAGGGAGTACAAAAATGCTTTTTTTACTGAACCATCCAAGAGTTCGATGTGAGGGCACCACTGCTATATTGCCCGAAGAGAATTGAGAAGTACTTATTTCCCTCACTTTGTTTTTTTTCTCTTGTGTATATTTCAGCTCTTTCCAGTGGTTTGTTGGATGAAGATCTGATTTACAGCGACGACGAAGGTCCTTCTGTATTTGAAAATGGGATTATCAATCATTTGCCAAGTGGCAAATCAAAAGAAAATAGACCATTTATTCACCTCAGTGTGTAAGTACTGTGCTGAATCAGATGCCCTGACTTAAATTATTATTTATTTATTTTTATCTGCTTTATTTCATTTTATAAACCTACATATCTTAGTTACATTTCATGTTCCATTTTACTATTGCTAGTCTCATTTCCTTGCTCATGTAAACACATAGTGGAGAAGATTATTGAAATGACCTGCTACGTTAAATCCCCATATCTTCTGACTTCCTCCATTATATAATCTTCACCCACCTCATTTTCAACTCATTTCTCCCTCCACACACTTTCGCTCCTCCACCTCATCCATTCACCTTAAATGATTTTAAATGCCCTATTTGCGTTATTGTCTGAAATTCAGCAAAAAGGGTTTATGTATCCCGCATACCGCAGGCATCATGGGTTTTTTTTTTTTTTTTAACCTATTGAATGCAATTTCAGGCAGGCTCTAGATTGATGATCTTCTAGTTAGGGAACAGCTACACATAAACATTGTGTAGCATTTACTAAGCTGAAAGCTGTTGTGTATTGGTATTAGTACCGGGGTTTTTAAAACGCTGACAAGACGTTTCTGTCACTGTCCTTTCTTTTGACATTCACAAGAACAGAGTGCATTGAAAACTTCCAGTTTGTAAAGAGCAAAGACATTGCACTTACAAGTGGCCGGCGGTAGAGTAAACATCAGTGGCCCAGCTTGCAGTCTTTTACAAAGGGTCTTCAAATCATAGTGAGCAGTAGCAATAAGGATGGAGGAAGAAGTGGAGACACTACATAGCGGTACTGCAGAACAGCAATGCCCTCATTGCTTCAGGGATGCTGATGTGGCTCTATCCACTTTGAGTTGTCAAACAATTGGCTTTTAATTGCACAGTGGTGCTGTAGATACTCATATCTGCTTTTGAAGCTGAACAACCCACTTTTAAGAAACTATTTTTGCTGGATGAATAATTTGATTGTTTAGTGTTGAACTTGTTGCCCATACGTTTTGGGACTAACTGGAATTTGTCACTTGTCTTTTTAATGTGTTCAGGAATGCCTATCACCAGCCTACTTCATTCAGGCCTAGGTTCCTGATCTCTGGGAAGCCAGGCCTGGGTCAGGGTACACACTTGGCTCCGGCACTCATACACACTCTGGAAAAGTTCACCGTGTACACATTGGATTTGGCTGTGCTTTTTGGAGTTAGTGTAACTTCTCCAGAGGAAACTTGCGCACAGGTAAGTAAGCCTTTTGTTTCTGCTACCTGTTAACTTCGACCCACAGCCATGCTGCCTTGGGATCAGTGGCTTAGACCCACATCAATGCTGCATTGGGATCAGTAACTTAGACCCACATCAATGCTGCATTGGGATCAGTAACTTAGACCCACAGCCGTGCTGTATTGGGATCAAATCTGAAGTAAATATTTGATATTTTGAATCGCAAGGTAACTCAAATTCTTAGAGACATTTATGAAGCAACGGTACAGCCATGCCACTGCATCAAAAAAATAAAGCACAGCAGGGATGAAAGGGAACATGACCTCCAATCAGAGTTCGCCCTTTCCTTGTTAAGCAGAGAAAACTCCATGGGACAGTACCGGCTCCACACTGCAACCTGCATTTCCTTTTAACGTTGCGGCATATAGCAAAGAGCAGTTCTCGATATCCACGATCTATTATAAATGTCCCCTTTAGTCTTCTGTCACTATCTTTTGTAATGGTTTGATCATTAAATATTTGTCATTTTCTCTGTTTCGGATACTCAAAAGTGAGATTTCCTTGTCATAATTCCTGACTCTGTTCCTGTCCACTTGGGAGTTGTAGGTGTTCCCGCTAACCTTTTGTGTGCTCCAGCATCTCTTGTTACTTTCTCTGTAGTAAAAATGTGAAGAAAGAAATAGACCAATGGGCATGTTTGGAGGTGGAGGGTTCAGCTGCATCACTACCAGGAAGTGCCAGAGCTTTGCCCGTTAATGGCATGACATTCAGCCACAGCAGAGGGGTGTAAACGTTGCTGCTGGTCTGTGATGCCTGCTTACTAGGCACTTGCTAGTAGTGATTCAGCCGACCCTTCCCCCTCCAACCTCCACACATGCAAATTGGTCTAGGTTTTTGTTACAGAGGGAGAGTAACAAGAGATGCTGAAGCACACAGAGGTTAGCGGGAACACCTACAACAACCAAATGTACATGGCATCAATATTAAAGATTTCATCGTTTCTTAGGTTACAACTTTCTCCTCATGTATTCTTTGCTATACAATAGGCAAAAAAAATCTTCACCGGTTGAAGTCGGCTCTATGCATATATGTGGCAGTACAGTGTTAAAGCACACCATGCTGCCACACATGCCTTTTTGTATAGCAAAGAATACATGAGAAAGTTGTAATCGAAGAAACAATGCCATCTTTAAATATGGAGGCCACCTACGTTTTATTGAGATGGCACTGAGTGGAATGACCTGAGCCTGACACTAAGCAACTCATCACTTTTTTTGATCCAGCTTTTCCGTGAAGCAAGACGCACTGTTCCTAGCATTCTGTATATTCCACACATTCATCTGTGGTGGGAGACAGTTGGCAACACCTTGAAAGCAACATTTTTAACCCTAATCAAAAGTATACCATCGTTTTCTCCAATCCTGCTCTTGGCAACGTGTGACGTGGAATATGCTGATCTAGACTGTGAGGTAATAACCGTTATCTGGTGAAGTCAAATGTTTTGTGAAAATACCTTGTGTTAAATCTTGGATTTCTTCTCTTCTGTCTATACCTTTTACCCTCACGGTGCTTTTCAAGCTGGGTTATCTCTCTTCGTTTCTCTGTGAACTCCAGATTTTCGTATAGTCACTACTCTGAGACACCTGTACTGAGAGAATATGGAGTCTGCTTTTGCAGTATAAAATGCTAGTTGTCTGGCTGTCCTGATCCAATGGGTTAAACACACTGAGACACAGACCTGCAAACTAGTATGCAGATCAGACATTGTGACTTTCTAATCTGATTGCTTGCCTTTGGCTAAGTGTGTCGCTGAATCCAGAGACACTCTAACAGCTGCTGTAGTATTCTTAGGAGGTTAATGTTGACAACCTCTTATTTAAACTTGGTATAAGTTTCCTTTTAGTGCTCATTTGGAATATTCTAGCTCTGTAACCTGAGAGGGATGTATTGCTGGGTTTATAATCTATCTAGGTTTTATCTCTGTGGAGTTTGCATTGTTCCTGGGTCTATTACCGTATTTGCACAATCCCAAACTACACCAGTAGCTTATGTAAATTCTACCTTTTAAATCGTGTAGTCTTCAGACTGGCAATGATGTCACAGGTTCTTCCTCTTCCCTTCTGGCACATAATGCTTACATTTTTGTTCTGTTTTGTTAGAGTGGGGAAGGACTAGAACCCTGGTCAGGGTTATTGCAATCTGTAATGCTAAATGGGAAATCTCTCCTCCCTATTAGTACAGGAAGTGATGGGGAAACTCCAAGGGGGGGTCAAGGAAAATAGGATTTTTTCAATTGTTAGTGAAATCTGCTTCTTTTGAGTAGATATTCCTCAACTCTGTGTCCTCCTACTGCCAAAAAAAAATTTTTTGGAGCTGGCCATTTGTTACCTACTAATACCTACATCCAAAGGTGTGCATACCCTGGCTGAATTTCGGACGGTTTTTAATGTACCGGCTGAAATTCGCACAGTGTATGGGGCTGTCGGCTCCCTTTTCAGCCAGCATTCTTTGATCAGCTGATCGAAGGAGCCTGCTGGAAAAGTTTCTGTCGGCAGCCAATGAGCTGCCCGCACTAATCGGGTATTCTGACTGGTGCTGGTAGCACCTGTCTGAATACAATATAAACAACGGGATTCCTCAATCGACACTTTGTGTTGATGGAGAAATCGGGTGAATTTTTTTTCGTTCAGCCTGCGGGTTGAACGAGAAAAATTGCTGCGTATGGCTAGCCTTGCATGGACTTCTGAATTGCCTGTGTCCTGTACTGTATGATCACTTTTTTAGTAGCGTAGTGATGAGATAGAACTGATGGGCACATACATCAATGAAAACACTTTCTGTCCTGTCAGGCAGAACCTCATAAGGACAGGGAGTGAGAGAAAGTCGCCTTCATGGGGTCACAAACAATTTCCTGCCCCTATTGTTTGCGGTTAAAAAAAAGTGTGCTGCAAATGCAGTAGAAATCTAGTCGGAATCCCTGATCTGTGTACCTTTTGCTGGTCGGCGTCTCGTAGTATTGAAGGCAGGCAGAAAAAAGTTTCAAGAGGTCAGGGGTGGCAGTGTGCGCCTTTTTTTTTTTTCTCTCCTCTTCTTGGTTTCCTGTAAATCTGGGAAAACCAATATTTTTCCATTTTGAGAATAACTGATCTGCTTTTTACTGTAGCTACAAGAGCTGTTTCTGGATGACTATGGGGAGGTTTTCCACGTTCAGTTACCAAACAAGGAGGACCGGAGAGCTTTCTTCCAGGATCTTATTTTGAACCAAGCTGCAAAGCCTCCAACCTCCAAAAGGAAGGCAGGTTAGTTCTATCCTGAAGCAAAAAAAAAAAATTAAACATCTTTGATGCAATGCTAACAAATATTTTTTTCAGTTCTTCATGCACTTGAGGTGCTGCCGGTGGCTCCACCACCTGAGGCCCGTCCTATGACTACTGAGGAGCTAAAGCGATTGGAGGCGCAGGAAGAAGAGACGCTCCGTGAATTGAGGCTCTTCCTGAGGGATGTCACCCATCGGATTGCCATTGACAAACGATTTAGAGCTTTTACAAAGCCAGTGGACCTTGAGGAGGTAATCTGGATTCATTTATGTGGAGCTGTTGGCATTTCATGTATTTGAAGAAATGGCTAAACTAAAATGGCGGCGCACTTGTAAACATTATCCCTCATGCTTTGTCACTAAGCATAGTCCGTTTTTGTACTGGAAAAGTGTTACTATACACATGTCAAGCTCTTCTATTTAAAATGTATGTTTGGGCAAAATAACATACAAATACATGTTAATCTGCTAGAAATCCAGTGTTCTAACTTTGGGTACTTCTGCTGTTTTTTAATGCCAAGCAGCACTGCTTGCCCACGCTGCTGTAATACAGAACTCTGCCTGTCCCCCACACCCCTCTCTGTCCCTCTGCACATGCATGCTTTGATTTATTTTCTCCCTGCTCCATTTAGGGACACCGCTTTGAAGAATTCTGACACATAGGGTTATGCTGCTGCCTTCAGGAGAAATGGACATGAGCCAAAAAATTAAAGCCTGTCTTTTTTTAAGGCAATAACCCCTCACACATGCCAGTTCCACTTAGGAGCATTGATGTCCTTCAGGAGCATTGAGGTCTCCTTTTTTCTTTTGCTTTTTGTTTCTTCGTTTGGGATTCTGGTATCAAGAGCAGATAGTTGATTTATGCTGAATGAGTGAAATCCAGGAAGTTTCTTTAGTTGTCAGGAAGCAGGTCGTTTCTAGTTTCAGTACTGATTTGTCCTGCAGTGGTCACCTTCATTTTAAAGAGTGGAGGACTTCCTGTGTACCGTGCGATGGATCCTTCCTGCTATGGTCCTGTGTTCCTATCTGGTGAGGTATTTCAGCTACCATTTGAGGTCAGGCAAGTTTTTGGCTGGGGCTTTTTTTTATTTTGGAACCAGGACTGTAAAGGTTCCTCCTTTTTAATAATTGTGTGGCCTATTGTTTGTATATGTTACACGGTTTGACTTTTACCACCATTTAAAAAATAAAAATACACTTTTTATTGTGCACTCACTCCCTCAGCACAGCCGCATTAAGCTGGCCAGTCGCGTGTTCCCTGAAATCTAGTGAGGATGCACGTGTGCCACCTTAGCTCTCCTCCTGCCCTCATTTTTAAAGCTGTGGGAAGCTGACAGACTCTGAGGGGAGGAAGGAGCTGGAGACGCATTCTGCTCTAGATTTCCCATAGGCTCTGCAATGTTATCCTGCCGTCCACTGTGAGAATGCACAGTTTACTTTCTGATACTCCACAGTGGTCAGGGTTGTGAGTATTCTAAGAAACAAGTGCTATTTAAAGTTACATTGCACTGGAACATCTGACGATGTATCCGCTTTGGTCTCTGTGTGTTCTACCTGTAAGGGAAACATTTTGTTCTGTTTTCTGCTTTGTCTAAAACCAATAAATCTTTATCAATGACTGATTCTGTACTGTGTATAAATTCTTCTTTCTCCTTTTCTGTAGTTTATGGAGGTTACGGATACATTTGTTTATCATTCCCCTAACAAGGGTAAGAAATGCCTCCCATTCTTCCTCTCCCATAGCTGCAGATGAGATGCTGGATATTTCCGGTTCATCTTGGAGCCCTTGCAGTAAATACTTTGATGAATCCTTATGGTCCTTGGAGGATTTTCCATCAGCTGCTGATTTTCAATCACCTATGGTGTCAACATCAGAAAGAAACTTCACAAGCTTTAAACTTGGGAGGATTCTTCAGTTGTAACCCCTTCTGCAGTAACAGCTTGCACATGTTAAAATATTTTCCTTTTCATCCTATCTCTGACAGATTTGTATACAAAGATTGTGACTGTCTGGATAAACGCCTTGTCACTATCCCATTTCAGATTTTCTTTTTAAAATAGTCTGTTTCCCTTGAGGTTGATTATTCCTTTTGATGACGCCCCTTCATTTTAGAAACCCTACTGATAAGAAATTCAAATTTGAAAAAAAAAATTTTTCTCAATTTACTCTTAACATAATAAGCTTTTCTACCCCTGCTGGCCACTGTTCTCATTTTCCAGACTCTAGCTACCTGGTCGAAGACGTCTGAGTGCTAACCCAGCGGCTGCGTGTGTTGACTCTCATCTTATTGATTGTGTCAATCAAATGACTGAGTCTGACTGCCTGTCTGGAGTAATCATTTTCCTCTATTCAAATTCTCAGAGCTATTTGCCTTTAGTGCTGGTCAGCGGAGCCTCAATATATAAGACACTTTTACATTTGCCCTATGTGGGAGACCATTTAATTGGCTTGCCTAGTGTCCATTTCTCCTAGAGACACCAGCATAACCTACTTCTCAGAATTCTTCACACCTGTGTCCCTCAATGGATTTTATAGTAAGAACAAAATCCTATTTTTCCAGCCAACAGCGCTGCTGCCTTGACATCCAAGGGCCTCTGCCCACACACTGTATGTAGGAAAAGGGCTTTTGTGAGATTTAGTTCTGGGGTCCTGCTGGCATAGGTAAGCACTGCACTCCCAGCAGCTGCACCTACAAAAAGTTTAGAAGCCTGTTATGATGTCACAGGGGGTAAGTTTGGGTCATGCTTTTCCAAATCATTTAAAGTGATTATCTGTAGAAGAATTTTTGCTAAGAATCTGTTCTATATATTTCCTCAGGTTCCAGATTATGTCACAGTAATTGCCCAGCCAATGGACCTCTCAACTGTTATAAGCAAAATTGACCTGCACAAGTATCACACTGTGAAAGAATACTTAAGAGACATTGACCTTATCTGCAGTAATTGCCTGGAGTACAATCCAGACAAGGACCCAGGAGGTAGGTTACTATATTGGCCGTCTGTTGATCAATCCCCTTGATGTAACCTGCACGTAATCAGTTTTCAATGAGAACTTTCCGCATTTGCTAAAGGAGAACTATGGGGTTAGGGCTTTTCCCCATAGTTCCCCTTAGGGTAACGGGAGGAGACAAACTAGCGTCCTCCCGTCACCCTAAGCTCAGTATACCGCGAGCTACAGCTCGCGGTATACTGAGACGCTGAAGCGGATCCCGACAATTATGTCTGGATCCGCTCAGCTGCGTTAGTGACAGCTGGCTCTGCCTATCTAGAGTCACTGCACTCCCAGCAGCTGCACCTACAAAAAGTTTAGAAGCCTGTTATGATGTCACAGGGGGTAAGTTTGGGTCATGCTTTTCCAAATCATTTAAAGTGATTATCTGTAGAAGAATTTTTGCTAAGAATCTGTTCTATATATTTCCTCAGGTTCCAGATTATGTCACAGTAATTGCCCAGCCAATGGACCTCTCAACTGTTATAAGCAAAATTGACCTGCACAAGTATCACACTGTGAAAGAATACTTAAGAGACATTGACCTTATCTGCAGTAATTGCCTGGAGTACAATCCAGACAAGGACCCAGGAGGTAGGTTACTATATTGGCCGTCTGTTGATCAATCCCCTTGATGTAACCTGCACGTAATCAGTTTTCAATGAGAACTTTCCGCATTTGCTAAAGGAGAACTATGGGGTTAGGGCTTTTCCCCATAGTTCCCCTTAGGGTAACGGGAGGAGACAAACTAGCGTCCTCCCGTCACCCTAAGCTCAGTATACCGCGAGCTACAGCTCGCGGTATACTGAGACGCTGAAGCGGATCCCGACAATTATGTCTGGATCCGCTCAGCTGCGTTAGTGACAGCTGGCTCTGCCTATCTAGAGGCAGAGCCAGCTGTACCCGCCCCGTCCGATCTGCCAGTCAGCGATGGCTGGGAGGGGGGTATCCAGCCCCTCCCCTGTCACGGCAGAGAGCCGTGACCGGATCGAGAGGTAAGCGAATGTCGGTATGTGTTCGCTCACCTCCCGATCTACTGAGCCGACCTGTGACAGTCTCATTGTCACAGGTCGGCTAGAAAAGCACTCACCTCATAGTTCTCCTTTATGTCCTCTGAATAACTGCAGAGCTGTGTTCTAAGGTGTTGGTGGGATTTGGAGTTGTATTTACAAATGGTACCTTTTTAAGTGCCTCTTTTTTGGTAAAATGGTTTAAACCAGTCGGGTTTTGTATGGTGTTTTATGAGCACCATCCTGGGTAAATGCTGTAAAGGAACATAAATTCCATTGCTGCCTACAGGAGAGCTGTGCGGGGTAGAGGTCAAACCTTCAAACAAGGCAGACTAAAAAAAATGGTGAGTCTAGTGTAAAATTACACTATTGGAATTTAGAAAGTCAACCCTTGGTACCACCAAGAAATCAATGCCCCCTCATCGAACTGCATTTTTTTCACCTTGGGAGAATATTTAACCCCAGAGCACACAGTGACGGAAACTTTTCTGATTTTGTATATTTTCCTGTATGCTGATGCTCTTTAATGCTTGTGCTTTCTAGGGTCTGGCTGCATCACTGGCTATCTTAAGCAATGCTGGAATTATCTTAATTGATGCTTTCTATGGCGTCTTTAACATATCGCCCTCTACTTGTTTGTTTTTTTACTTCATGGTTGCTTTAATCCAGAATTACCCACTTTGTGCGCTAATAAGTCCTTTTAGTATGCACTTTGCCAAATGCCATGATAATGATGTACACCTGTGCGCATTCCTAGTTCTCAAACTCCACTGTCAAACTGACAGAATTGGACTTCATGTTGAGTTTGCTGATTCATATGTTCACTGTTAAATTTGGTCTGGGCATCTAAGCTTTAATTCCCTTTCTCACCCATTAGATCGGATGATCCGCCACAGGGCATGCAGTCTAAAGGACACAGTTTATGCAATGATTAAACAGGAGCTGGATGAAGAATTTGAGAAGCTTTGTGAAGAAATTCAGGAATCTCGCAAAAAGAGGGGTAAGCCTAATTTTTTATTTTTTTTTCCTGGAAATTTAGGATTTACATTTTATTTATTTTTTCCCCTCCCGCCCTCTATGTAGTGATAAGTCTGTCCATATGTTTGGAAATGAGTCTTTGGTCTTTATTCGGTGGTGTTTCTCCCAATTCAATGCTTCATTGGGGCTTGTTCACATTAGGATCCCTTCCATGCATTTTGCTGTTTTTTTGCAGAACAAGCAAAATGCATAGGTTTAGGAAAATGTATTAATTGGCCCCATTGATGCCACCATTTTTGGGAGTGTTGACCTCCAATTCTTCGTGTGTGTGTGTGTGTGTGTGTGTGTGTCCTTATCTGTACTTGTAATGCATGCACATGCTTTTCAAAAAGCTTCAACAGTCTGTTTTTCAGTTCGAGTCATTGGGTGAGAGAGTTGGTATTCTATGAGGAGCTGCTACAGCTGAGCTTCTACCAAGTAGTTGGGAAAACCTGTCATAAGTGGGCTCTGAGGGGACTGCTGCTTTCACTGGTGGTGTCACCCCAGTGGATAGAGAAATGCATTTGTGATTAGTCAGTTGCATTGGATAAGCATCTCTGCCTAGCCTGTATGTATGTATGTATGTATGTATATGTATGTATATGTGTGTGTGTGTGTGTATATATATATATTAGAAAATGTTCCTCTATAACGTGCCAGGCTGTGACAAGTGGGCTCCAAAATCCATGTTGTATGGCTTGCTGGGGGTATTGGTTTAATTCCTGTTTTGGCTTCGTTATTTTCCACACTTTGGCTTGAAATGTATCAAAATCTGGAGCAGCTGTGCATGGCAACCAGTCACCTATCACTTTCTTCAGTTAAGATTTGGAAACGAAAGAGAGAAGCTGATTGGTTACCATGCACATCTGCTCCAGTTTTGATAAATTCCCTTTCACTATGTTTTACATTTCCCAAGTTATTCACAGATTTTATGTACAGCCTTGAAATCAATTTAAAGCTAACCTGTGCTCTCCAGCAGCACATAACCTCCTCTTGCTTTCACTTCCTCTCTGCTGCCCGAACTCCTAGGAGTGAAAAAATCCCTGGGTAAGCTCTTGGCAGTTTCTCAGGGCCATTTGGTCTTCCAATTACTAGTATTGTCATATAAGGGAGTGATTTATATTCTCTATACTGTGAATATGTTCTTTTGCTTTTGGCAAATAATTGGGGAGTAGAGGAAAATAGGATTTCGGAACGTAAATTTTTTTTCTCACAATCCATTGAGGGACACATCTGTGAAGAATTCTGAGACGTAGAGTTATGCTGCTGCCTCCAGGAGAAACTGACACTAGGCAAAAAAATAAGTCTGCCCCTTTAAAAAGAACAACCTCTTCCACCTGTCAGTTGTAGCAAGCGGTATGAAAGGATGTTTGAGTAACGGAAGCATGATTCTGAATTGCCCTGGTAGAATGAGGAGAAATGGGAAAAGGAGGAACCTTATCCTGCAAATCAAGCTTGAATGAATACCTGAAGAATCCACTCCCAATGACTAATGAGAGCTGTGGTTGACGGAAACAGACAGCCGACACAATATCCAAATAAAAACAAATTTCCTTAGGATGAACAGGAACTGGACAAAGTGGCGGTCGAACAATGTCTTCATTTAAATGAAAGGACAAAACCACCTTGGGTAAAAAGTAGGACTGCAGAAATGAACGATCCCTCGATTAATCATTAATTTTTTTTTTGATCGATCAAAATTATTTTGATCGGTACTCACCTCTCCGCCGGCTTCCGGGTCTTCTGGGAGTTCCTCGGAGATCCAGTGACGTCACGGACATCGACTTTACCGGACTCCTCCCCCTTCCCCAAGTGGCTGTCGGCTAACAAAGTGTCAAGGATCTGCTCTGCGGCGTCGCTCCTGCAACGCTCGGCCCCTCCAGCAGCGACGTCACCCCACGTCGTCACTGGCTGAAGCCGCCACCTGAAGCCGGCTCCCTCGTTAAGAACGAGGGAGATTCAATTGCTCGGCGTTCAATCAAGGAGATTGAACGTGGAGCAATTGCTCTCTCCCGCCATGCTGCACTTCCACCTTGAGTGGGTCCTCTTCCTCGGATGATGAATAGGGACTCTCCCAGTCTCCTCGGGATACCTGTGGCTGGCTTCCTCTACACTCGTACTGTCTGCAAAAAAGGCAAGTAACCTAGCAGATCTTCCTGCATTGAAGTGATTAAGGAACTTGGGTATACTGCCACCTAGTGCTGGAACTTGTTACTGTTTATTGCCATCTACTATACTAAATACCATTCATTCTGCATTGTGAACCATTTGTCAGAAATTACAGCCACCAACTTTACTAGACCTACCTTTTAATTATTATTTCCTTGAAGACGCATTGTATGAGGTTAGTACACTGCAAATAGTATCCGCAATACCAGATACTAACTTTTAACCCTGTATGGTGGTAATACAGAGGTTAAGATTATTAAAGTGGTATATGATGTTTGTGGGATCTGCGCCCCCCTCACCTCCTATAAAGAGGGTAATAGCAGTAACCCCAGCCTGAACCACCCTCTAAATCCACCTGGGCTGTGCTGCCATATCCGCATTTGCGATCCAGCAGCATTTGGGGAGGAATTGTTACAGTCCGTGACGGCTAACTAAGAGAAGGGGGGGAGGAGTCCGGTGACGTCTATGTCCGTGACGTCACCGGACTCCTTCCCCTTCGTTAACGACGCAGATCATAATGGAAACCAGTGGGATTTTGAAGGCAGGCTTTGACTATTGGGAAAACTCTACCCATCCAGTGTCGGGGGTGGTGGGGGCAGGGGGGTTAAGTGAAGGTAGGTGAAGGCTTCCACTTTATCTGAAACTAAATTTAGGGTGTACCTGTGCTTCTTTTTAATTATTTATTTTGTAATTTAAATGTTCCCGCGTTGGGGTGGAGTGGGGCCCCATTACCATACTCTGGGTAATGATTCTCACTGCTGTGCTGTATGTGTATAGGCCAATGTAGTTGGATCTGTATGTGCGTTTATAATCGATTTAAAAAAAATTTCGATGAATCGAACACAAACATTTTAATCATTACCAGCCCTAGTAAAAAGGAAACCTGAAAAAGTCTGTCACCACCATCTGCTATCACATGGGGGGGCTTGTAAGCCCCCCCATATGATAGCAGTCAAAGTAAAGTAAAAAAAAATACTTTTTTAAAATAAATCTAATAATAATAACAAATTTTAAAAGTCCCCCGCGAGCACGCGCGTCGCCACGTAAACACGCGTCGGGTGCGCCTACGTATGAAAACGACGAACGCGCTACACATGCTGGGTATTGCCGCGCGCGCTGGAGTGAGAGCAATAATTCTAGGGCCTTATTTTGGGGGTATCTCTAAATTGATGACCTGTGGGGGCTTTTAAAGCGTCTTCTGTGGACTTTTTGGGGTACTGCAGTTTTTCGCCGTTTCACGGACGCACACAATTTGTAAACTGGGCATGTTGGGTATCGTTTTACTCGTTGTAACCCCATCTTTTATATTTCATTTTAAAAATGGGTATTTTGTTGTGTTTTGGGGCATTTAATTTTATCGCTAAATTTTGGGGTTTAATAAGGAGTTGCGCTAATATTGCGCAACATAAAAATGTGCAACTACCACCATTATATTGTATAGGGTCTTGGCATATATTTTTGGCAGAAAATATATAATGTGTGGGGGTTTTAAGTCCTTTTCAGGCCTAAAATGTGGAATATAACATGGGTGCAAAAAAATGGGGGGGAAAAAAAGGCCTCAGTCATGAAGGGGTTAAAGAGGTTGTGGAAAATGTAAATAAAATCAGCCGAATCCCACATTTAAAAAAAAAAAAAAGCATTTAGCCAAATAGGTGTCTAAAAGCGAGCAGCCCAAGTAAATATGAGAGAAAACACCAATCTTAAAACATTAGGTAAATACCTTTTTTATTTATTTTTGAATAAAAAATAAAATGATAAATAGGACCACTGCCAGATGCAGCCCAAGTACTGAGACCAGATATGACCTGCTTCATGACGGCTAGGCAAACTTCCAGGATTTAGCTTATCCGGCATCAGTCTGTTTTGCTAGCTCGAGACTTCCAGGATTTAATATGCGGTATGAGTAACATTTACAACGAAGAAACAAAATATACTAAAATAATAAAGCATAAGAGAAGGAAACATCCATTCTTCTGAAGACACTAAGCGAAACTGGCAGGTGTCCATTTCTCCTGGAGGCAGCAGCATAACCCTACGTCTCCGAATTCTTCAGAGCTGTGTTCCTCCATGGATGATGAAGAAAGGTGAGTAGTTGCAGCCAGGGATGGGGGAATGAAATCAAACTTGTTGCTTTGTCCTGCATGGGCAAATCACAGGTTTGCTTCAATATGCAGGTATTGGATCCTACTCTTTGCAACCTGTTCACGCAGGTGTTACTATGACCATCTTCTTACTCTGGACAAGATTGGAATATGATTTTGGAGAATTTGCCTAACTAAGCCGGGTTTTCTTTCCCAGATTGAAATGATCTTTCTTTCTTCAACACAGGTTTTTCTTCTGCGAAATACGCACCTTCTTATTACCATGTTCTTCCGAAGAACACAAATACACCCGATGGGAAGAAAATGGACACTGAGGGATCTGAAAAACCGACTGGATCTGCAACTCCTGTTGCTGCCAGTACACCCAGTACAGGTGTGTTTTTGGACTTTATCCTAGATGTCACACAAGTAGCCAAACATTGAATTAAACTTCACACCAATGAATGTCACATTCTAGCTTTGACTTAAGTTTGTATACTTGTAAAAGTGCGCATCCTCACTTGTAAAGTGTACTCATGTGTAGCTAGAAGTATATCTACACATGAGCACGGAGAGCACATTAAAAACAAATATCTACTCCAGCTAGAGATGAGACACCAGTGAACGCAACTCCATATTAAATGCGTTTTTAAGATGCAAGCATTGTAAGTACAGTAAATTCCATTTTCCGGTACCCATGGATTGGTAGATGCCGGATAACTGTAGATTCTGTGAGGGTAATCTTTGACGGACATGTAGTTTTAAAGGGACTACTTGCCGATGCCAATTACCGATACATGTGACATTTTGAAAAAAAAATTCTAAAACACAGACTCATGATTTTTAGGGCAGTCTCACCAGGGTTAAATACAGATGTCCCCAGACCAGCACCATAGATCCCACCGTAGCTGCACCAAACATCCCACCAGAGCAGAAGGCTGCAATCTCAACTGGGTGACACGTGGATCTCTGCAGGGCTGTTAGTTAATTGGATGGGGGCCGGTGTCTGGGGCTATCCATGGTTGTGAAGGAGGAGCAGGATGTATAGAAACGGACAGCGACAGCTTCTGAGGTCCCGGCGAGCGCTGGAACTCGGCAGCTGCTGCGGTTTAAAAATTGAAAGGGCCGGTATTGGCCTTAAAAATAGAGGCATTTTCACAAGTACACATGAAAATGCCTGGCATCGCCCCCGATACCGATACTAGTATCGGGACATCACTAGTTTAAATTATATAAATAAAAAGCTGAACCCTGCCATTGTTATATGGGTTATCCCTACCGCAGTAATTGCCACCATTACTGGGTGGCTTGGTCTGTTAGATGTTAAAAAAAAAAATCCTGATTTTACCCAGATACTTGCTGTTCAAACTAAAATGTTATCTACTTTTCCCTATAAATACAGGAAAGAGAAAGCACAGACGACGAAGTCGCTGGAGCTCTGGTATTTGTCCTAAAAAGAGGAAGCCATCAGCCGTTCGTAATAGCAGAACTGAAGAGGCAGAAAGTGAAGCAGACCAAGATCCTAAAGAGTCCAGCCTAGATCTGACGGAGATGGAACTCCTAGATGATTCCTCAATGGAAGCAGAACAGTCTTATCTGGACATCAATAATCTAGATAAGGAAGCTGGGAATGTTCCTCCTCATACAGATTCTTCTAAAGCCCCGACCGACGAGTTGGAAAAAAAACACGAGGAAGTCCCTGCAGCAGTGCTAAATGGTGATCACAGAGACTTAGATGGTATGTAAGGGAATCTTACTGTTGTAACTGCTAAAAGTGGAGCTCTGCCCAAAACCTAGTGATGCATTTTCTTTATATGGTGCTCAAACTCTCCTCTTTGCTGTCTGATATTGACATATTTATTGTGCTGGTTGAAGGAGAGGAAAGTGTTGTGAAGAATGGGGTTCATCTATTATAACTCTTTATTAAACTGGATCTGTGGTCTGGCTTAAGCTGGCCATACACCTATAGATTATGTGCAGATTGTCTATGGTCAGATGGAAAGTGCAACAGATTCCTCCATCTATGGTAAACTGTGAATGGAGGAATCTCCTACTGGGCCAAGCTTCAGTATCTTGCTAGTCTTCTCCGCTGGCTTTTAAAACACCTGAACAATGCCGGCATCCAATCAGATTGTTCAGGTATTTTTAGAGCCAGCGGGGCCGACCAGCAAGATACTGAAGCTTGGCCCCGTGGGAGATTCCTCCATTCACACAGTTTAGCGTAGATGGAGGAATCTGTTGCACTTTCCATCTGACCATAGAAAGTCTGCAGATAATCTATAGGTGTATGACCAGCTTTAGGGTAGGCAGTTCTTGATATGCTCAGCATACTTGCACATTGACACTTGCCTCCGTGTGTGTGTTTTTTAAGCCATCACCTTTGCCTGCCATCTTCTCCACTTCCTCCAGGTGCCGTGTCTTCTGTTTGCCCATTTGGCAATAACATTTGCCCATGCTGTAAATATACACTGCACTGTGCATGCGCTGCAGGTAGTGCACACTGGATTCTACATCTGCAGAAATTCACTACAACAGACTCTTCTCTTGGCCTCACGTTGTCCAGAACTAGACCCAGATACTCGCAAGTATTTGTTCCACAGAAGAACCTGCCGATTCTCTGGCCTCAGATTTGAGCTCTCCAGTCTAGGAGTCGTGTGACTCCACTTTTGCATAAGTCTTGGATTTGTTAGTAACCTCCTTTTTTTTTTTTTTGGAGGCGGTCCTGTTTTACCCAAACCCAGGGGTGTGGACATTTTAGAAAAAACTACTTGTCCAAGGACTAAAGCGGGGGCCGAATCTACTTGTCCCTCATGACAATCTACTTGTCCTGATACAAAAAAATAATTTTAACCAAAACCTTTTGGTTTTTTTGTTACCTCCTTTTTTTTTTTTTTGGAGGCGGTCCTGTTTTACCCAAACCCAGGGGTGTGGACATTTTAGAAAAAACTACTTGTCCAAGGACTAAAGCGGGGGCCGAATCTACTTGTCCCTCATGACAATCTACTTGTCCTGATACAAAAAAATAATTTTAACCAAAACCGTATTTAGCAGTGCTAAGTAGCACTTCTCATTGGTCAGTGCCGTCAGGTGACTGCGTTGACCATTTGGCAGTGCCATTATTTTCTAATGACACCCCAGTCATGCCAGGCAGATTGTGCGTTTTCCTGCTGCAATACTGCCCTGCCCGAGCGGTTGCACACGATTGCAGTTGAAAACACTGCGTGTTTATTCGCATGCAGATGGGGACAGCGGAGCTGGTTTTCATTTTAAAAATTTTTTATTTACTTTGTAAAAAAAATTTCATTTGTTTTATTATTTTTCCTTAATCGCCTTTTTATTTAGATACATTTTTAATATTTTTTACTTTTTCATTTTAACTATTTAACTGTGCTATCACACAGCGAATAATAATCCTGTCTGATAGCATTTGGAGGTGACAGGTACTCTTTATTGACCCTGTCACCTCCGACACAGGAGTTCTAGCATAGCACTGTTGCTTGAACTCCTGTGATAGGAACGAGCATCGGCCGCCGGGGACAGAGGCTGAGGGAGGTGACAGAGCCTGTCACAGCTCCACTGTCTGGCATCATCACGGCTCCACGCCCCCAGCCACGTCATGGCTCCACGCCCTCCGCTCCGTCGCTAGTTCTCAGCGATCCGTCCCCACCCCGCTCTCGGCGCTTCACGCCCCCTGCTCGCAGCGGCGCTCGTTTAAGAAAAAAAACCCAGCCCTGCTACTTGTCCGTAGCAGGGCTAAAATAGTGACCAAACAACTTGCCCGGCGCCCAGAACTACATGTCCCGGGTGTCGGGCGATACGAATTCCACACCCATACAAACCTCTTTCTAGTGTTGTGGGACAAGTTCAGTCTTGGAACAAACTGATTAATTTGACTCCTATGACATGCTGGCTCAGGAATCTTGAGTCTGCTACTGGGCAAGCCGTTCATTCCTTTTGTTTAGGGGCTTCCTTACATTGCATGCCAGTGCACTCTGTTAGCACAGGGGACTTGGTTGTCATAAGTGTCTTGTCTGCTTATAGACATTTTGGAACTTTGGGTGATCTGGCTGTCTCTGTAGGCCGGGACCATCCTACTGGAGGTTCATCCAATCTGAGTCCAGTAGGGCAAATGTACTGTGGTGATGGTGGTGTGTCGACCATCAGGGAAGAACCAGAATGCAATTGAATCCTGTCCTGGGCAGAACTGTATGTTGCAGCTTTGACCCACCGTATACATCCCATGCATTTGACAATTTGAAGGCAGACTTCCTCACCTGGCAGCATATAGACCTGGGGTAGTGGTCTATACACACTGTTGTTGAACCTGGAAGCAAGTCCTGGAACACTTTAAACTGGAGAGATGGGCTCCAGGTATAGGGATCCACTAGTGGAAGCGGTGCTCTCGTGCAGGAGTAGGCAACCTTGGCACTTTAGCTGTTGTGGAACTAGAAGTCCCATGAGGCATTACATGCCTCTGACAGCCACATGCATGAAACCAAGAGGCATTATGGGATTTGTAGTTTCACCACAGCTGAAGTACCAAGGTTGCCTATTCCTGCACCAGAGCATCCACCACTTCTAGTGGATCTGAATATCTGGAGACAAACCTGTCAAGTTTGTTGTTCTGGTGGTTCAGTGGCTCAAACACTGATCTATGGCTTTCCTCCTGTGAAACGTCTTCCTTGTCTGGATCTTTTGTCCCAAGGACCAATTTAACCATTCTGCTCAGGGGTGTGGACTAAAGTGGGAGCCTGATCTACTTGTCCCTCATCATCTACTTGTCCCTCATCATCTACTTGTGGTGATGCAAAAAAATAATTTTAACCGTGCTAAGTAGTGCTTCTTATTGCTCAGTGCGGTCAGGTGACTACGCGAGTGCCTGCAATTTGTGAACAGAATTCGAAATCCGCAGTGCTGTGCTGGATGACAGTATGGGGTACAGATGGTACACCCATACGAATGAAATGTGACAGATTTCTCAGAGCAAATCTCAGGTTCTTGGGACATAATACTCTGATCTGCACCGTCTCTGGTGGCGGTCCTTGTAGATTCAAGGTGTGTGCGGTTTTTTTTGTTCAGGTAATTGGCTGATTATCTGGTGACTGTAACACCCGTGTGGGTCGGAGCTCTCATGAGAGAGTTTTTGATCAGAGCGCCAATGTTATAATTGATCCTTCTGTTAGAAAGTAAAATGTAATTCTTGTTTCAATTTTAAATGTTGCCTTTTAGATGTGTGTGTTCTGAGAATGACTCGTGGAAGACAAATCCAAGTGGAACAGCAGAACCTCATCAGTGTGGATACAATTATGGATGTCCTCTCGGAGCCGGTGCCAGCCTTGCATGTGGATCACCAGAGCCTCAAGGCAAGTTTTACGCTCGAACAGTGTGCGTTTTATGCATGTGCAAATTAAGCCCGAACTTCATCTGTGTACTTGTTCCATATGGGTGACCCTAAATTCCAACCCTCCTAGTGCTGCAAACAGAGTTGTTGTTTTTTTGGGGGGGGGGGGTGGTTTATCTAAATGGATACATTCTCTTTCAACATTGTAAATGGGTTATTTATTTTTAGGACTTGCTGGAAAAAGCTGTGAATAAAACAAACGGATATAACATACTGCAGCTGGAAAAGTTATACGCAGTGCTGAGCCAGTGTATTTACAGACATCGTAAAGACTATGACAAGTCTCAGTTAATACAGGTATTCTATCATTTTTACCACAGTGTCCCTTTTTAAGTTGTAAGATTTGATGTGGTATCTGTACCTTCACCTTATGCAGAAATGTTGTACATTAATTGGTTCTTAACCAGACAGCAGGGGATGGCGCAGGAAATGGTGGGTAGATGATCACTTTATAGAAATTATTTAAAGGGAAATTCTATTAATTGCCTGGAACATTCTGCCTGCTCCTGCTATTACATTTTACTGTATGCGTAACCCACCTCCACCTTGCTAGCCGCTTTATCGTCCATACACTGCACTACAGCCCAACATTGAGTATCCAGCATAACACTCGCAAATAGCGAGTGCTCATTGGTCGGCATGGTGTCATGACCAGAAGCGCTTCTCATTAGTTAGCGTTGATGGGAACAGGTGAGTCTCCATTTGGAGGATATATTCTGACATTGGTAGGTGCCGATCTGGTCCAGATTGTTTACTTAGAGTGAAGTAATGATGAGGATAATGGTTTTAGGAGCTTGTATTTATGGCGGAGTGCAGCCTGCCTGGTAAAATACTTTCCTTCACGTTCCAGTGATCTTTGCAGTGGGGTTGTGCTGTAAAGGCTGTGCCGCTCCTGGCATGGTGAAGATCGCTGGAACGGGGGGATACAACTACCTTCACTCATCATATATCTTGTAGCATTAATTATTATTCTTTATAATATAGTATTTATATAGCGCCAACAGTATGTGCAGCGCTTTACAATATAGGGAAGACGGTACAATCACAATACAGTTCAAGACAAGATGGTAAGGAGGGCCCTGCCCCTGAGGGCTTACAATCTAAAAGGGAGGGGCAAGTCATACATGAGGAGGGAGCTATGTGGGGATGAATTGTTTGAGAATGTGATGGTTCAGTGGTTAGGTCGAGGTGGGATAGGCTTCCCTGAAGAGATCAGTCTTTAGGGATCGCATAAAGGCAGTAAGAGTGGGAGATAGACAGGTTGGGGTAAAGAGTTCCAGAGGATGAGAGACTCTAGAGAAGTCCTGGAGGCGAGTATGGGAGGAGTTGACAAGGGAGCTGGAAAGCAGGAGGTCTTCGGATCAGCGGAGTGGACGGTTAGGGTGATACTTCGAGACCAGGTTCTGGGGGGATGCAGACACTGAGCGGTTGGTTAGGTGAATGAGTCTAGCAGCTGCATTTATGATAGACTGAAAAGGGAGGAGCCTGTGTAGAGGTCATCCAATGAGGAATGAGTTGCAATAGTCGAGACGGTAGTGTAAGAAGTGTTGTGACATCCAGACTGATATGTCAGTAGATTAGTGACACGCAAGGTCACGGGGGGGGGGTTCATGTTTGGGACGGTTATTTGTTACTTCAAGGACTGCAGACACGACCTCTGGGTGAGATTAGAATATTGTGGAGTAACACGTCCCTTCCTTCTCATGTCCACACTACACTCAGTGATTTATAACAAGACTGTGTTTGTCTTCTAATGTGTGAATTATTGCCACATTCTCGCTTATGTACTGTTGTAAAGTCTAGTTAATTAAAGGCCTGTAACTTGTTTTTTTTTTTTTTTTTTTTTTTCTTAATTAAGTCCCTTTAAATTTTTTTTTTTTTTTTTTTTTTTTCTGCCTTTTTATTTTTTTAGGAAATGGGACAAGAAATGGCAAATTTTCGCATCTGAGATCACAACTGTATCCATTTCAAATTGCCTTAATGTCTTCTTTAATATATGCAATGTTTACTTGTACATATATACACACACTGTAACATGTGAAAAATTGGGGTTATTTTCATAGGATATGACATCGTACTGTACATATTGATGTTGGTGATATTTTACCTTTTTTGTGCGTATGCTAAAAATAAAGATGGCAACACCGCAGTCCGGCAACATTGAACACCTAGAGATGTGTGCCGAGGAAAATATGGAGTCTTCCATCTGGCCACTAACATGGATTTCTAGGCCATTGATCTAGAACAAGCATTGAGCAAATGGTCAGAAACCCTGATCTGCATACTTCTAGGTTAGGGACCCAAAGATTGAATCTATAGGATTAGCATGATGCCAGTCATACAGTAAAAGCAGGCTCTATTTCTTACAGAGGAGTCTTCTTTTTAGCTTTAGAGTATATTTGGGAGACCCCCGGGTACTCTGTATGTATGCAGTGACCGTTCCGCTTGGAGGGTTTGTGCTCTGGCTGCCCTGTGCAGTGGGTGCCTCTTAAGCTCACTGCATTGTACTGAGGAATAAACAAGGAATCTTTTAGGTCTTTGGCAAAGGACAGGTTTGCCTAAAAGGAGAGTGGTACTTTTAATAACACTTTAGCTCTGTTAATATTTTTAGGAACACCAAGAGACTTGTATGAGGCAATACATTTTGTCTCTCCTTTCCCTGTACTTTCAGGGCTATTTATCAAAGGCTTGGGCCAGTATATACATTTACATTAACTGTTTGCACTCTGTAAAGTGAGAGATGTCTTCAGATCTGGATTGGCTAGAAGGAAAGTAACAGGAATGCCTGTAGATGAGCAATTCCCCTTCCACATTCAGGTGTCTAACTAGGGATGCACCGATACTAGTATCTGTGCCGATACCGAGTATTTGGGCGATTTACTCTGTCAAATGCTCTACCGATACCGGAACTCAGTCAGAGGAAGATTTCCTCTGACCTGCAGTGCCGTAGGGGGAACATGGAGCCCTGCTTCCCAGCCAATCAGCATGGAGTCGGCTGTTCGACCAATCGGGGATGCGGGTCATTACTCGCCGCCCAACTTCCTGACCAGGAAGCCGGCTCGATGCTGGGTTGGCTGAGAAGCCGTTTTCCCGGCCAAACAACATGGAGCCAGCTTCTCGAGCAATCGGATTGCCCGGGAAGGCGGCTCCATGCCAGCTGAAGTATCAGTACTTGGTATCGGCTAGCACTGAAAGCAAAATATCGGTACTCTTATACCGAAAAACGGTATTGGTGCAATCCTACTGGAAACACATGGAATGACCAGCAGTAAGCTGAATTCTACTTTGTAGTAACAGGTGTTCACTACAAACATCCATCCATTTCTATACTGCACTCATGGAATCACTGGTATACCTGCTTCTGGAGGTTAGATGAAGACTTTCATATGGGTAGTAATTTAAGAATGTCTTCAATATTCTCAGTCCTGGTCTGCAGATGTCCCTCTACACAGTGCAGACTAAAGACATCCTGAATGTCCTCATCATAACACTGGCTTTGCCCTGGGATTACTGCCATACTACAGGATGAGAAAAGATAAATACAAGAAGATATTCACAAAGTTTCTTGTTCCTAGATATGTTACACTTGACCGGTTTGCTTTTTTTTTATGCCACAGTTGTCATTTTAAAATGTGTTCAGCCAAAGCTTTTTTATTGTATTTTAGTTTTGAATAGCGTGGGGATGGTTCAGAATTCATTTTGGATTTTTAATTTTATCTGGGGCCTAATTTATAGATTTCTTTCCACTATCGGGGTGACCATGGCTTCACCGGACAGGAAGTGAGGGGAAAATCTCAGCAGGGACACAGCAATAAAATGTTGGCTTGGGTTTTGATTTTGTCTGCTTTTTAACTTCCCCTCACTTCCTGTCTGTGGGGGAAAAGGTTGTCACCAGTACTAGAAGTAAGAAAACAGATCCCTGGACAGCAGTTAAAAACAAATGGCGGTTCTAATCCTTCCTCCCTCTAACCAAAACCATTTTTGCCCCAGCTAATAAACGCTATTTTTTTTTCATTACATTTCTGAATAAGATTTTTTAATAATTCCACTTTTATGTGTAAAGTAATGCAGAATTATATTGGGCGTGCACATATAAAAGCAGTCCGTTCAGCTTCAGGACCATCATTTAGCTGAAGCTGCTGTGAACCATAGTTATTGGCCGTGAAGTCTGACCATGAAATTCGGGTCAATAAAAAGATTGTTAAAATCAAATTAATTTCTAATCTGAGTGCCTTTTGAATGGCCAATTGTAATTTAGTTTTCATGTTGCTCCCCCCCAAAGACTGAAGTATAAATCTTAGGAGGATAACTACCAGCTGGCATCCCCGTATGGTTCCATAGAAAGGATGTGTACTGCTGCATGGGATTTACTGAACCAAGCGGGTAGTGATGTCACTAAACTTCAGTCTTCTGCTTCATCTAGAACTGTATTTAAGCTTCTGTATTTTATCAGTTTGTATGTCACTCTCTCGTGTTTACTGTTACATAGCTATAATTTTATTCACTGGAAGCGAGTTCTATTCATGAACTTTAAATAAAGTGACCAATATTAAAAATGTGTACTTCTTAAGTGGCGGTTATCACAGAAATGGAGGGTTTTGGGGGGTTTTAAGTAATGGTGTCTCTAGCAGGGGTAGGGAAACTCCCAGCTGTGGTGAAACTACTCATCCCATCCTGCATCTGCCTCAGGAAAATATACCTGGGGCTGTCGGTCTCATAATGCATAATGGGGTTTTGTAGTTGCAGCCACAACTGGAGGGCCGAAATTTGCCTTCCTCTGCAGTGGTGGCGAACCTTGGCACTCCAGCTGTTTTGGAACTACAAGTCCCATGAGGCATTGCAAGACTCTGACAGTCACAGACATAACTCCCAGAGGCAGACGCATGTTGGGATTTGTAGTTCTGGCATAGCTGGAGTGCCAAGGTTCGCCACCACTGCTCTAGAGCAGTGGTTCTCAACCTGTGTAACCTTAGTGGTGACCCAAGCCACACTGCAATGGAATGCATTAGGGTACCGTGCGTTTGGGGTACCATTCAAATGAATGGCAACGCAACACACCTCCCACACCAGAATCCAAGGTAGGTGCGGTTGCATGGGACAGTGCTTGCACCGTACTGGTGTGAACAGGCCCTCAAAAACACTGGCATGCATACATACAACCACAGACACAATCTCACACACTCCGAAATTGATTAATTTGTTTACATTTTGTTTTTTGATCCTCTTAGTCTCTCTACCTTATGAGAACTGAAGAGGATCCTAAGCCTGTGGTCCAGTGTGGGCTGCTGTGTTGTGATGGAGCGCCATCCATATTGTTTGTACAGCTCCCTTATGTGCCCTGTAGAGGTGCCGGGAGCCAGAATGTGACATCACTTCAGTCCAGGCACCTCTATAAGACTCGGAGGGAGCTATAAGCAATGCACGTATCAATGGCCATAGCCCCATCCCAGTCCACCTCAAGCTGACACTCGGCCCTGGGCCGCATATTTTGAATGGCTGCTTGGTGTGAGACCTGCAGTGCTGCGCTAGGGGGAGGCAGAGGAGCCTCTCGCCTAGAAAAGTGGAAGGCATGTGGCGACACACTGAACACGGATGTGACCCACCAGTTGAGAACCAAGGCTCTAGAGCAGGGGTAGCAAACATCCGGCCCTGCAGCTGTGGTGAAACTACAAATCCCATGATGCATCTCTCTTCGGGAGTCATGGCTGTGAGACTCTTGCAATGCCTCATGGGATTTGTAGTTCTACCACAGCTGGAGGGCCAGAGGTTTGCTACCCCTGCTCTAGAGGATAGCTGGACAAGAATGGTACTTGAAGGAACTGAATGTCTGCTGTCCTGTACACACAGAAGTAAAGCTTTTTAGTTCAACCGTTTTATGCCGTACTATTTAATTATATACTTATTGATTCTCTCCACCCGTGTCAAAACCATTAAAACCTCAAAAACATGACCAGTGAGCCATCTCCAGTAAACTGCTTTCACCAGTTGTAATCCATAGGAACCTTATTGGAATTGCCTCTGCTGAATTTAGACTGGTAAATGCTGGACTCTGATTGGTCCTGATAGGAATAAGAACTCTTTATTGGATAGGGGTAAGAAGTGCCTCATATTTACCTTGGCATAGTTTCCACATGCACACCATTGACTATCCCACCTGGCAGATTCATTTTGAGTTGCCAGGAACGTAGACTTTTGTGAATGACTCATCGACTTGTGGCAGCATTCTTTTCGCCATCGTCCATCGAGGGACACAGCTCTGAAGAATTCTGAGACGTAGGGTTTTGCTGCTGCCTCCAGGAGAAATGGACACTAGGCAAGGGAATTGTCACTTTAACCCCTTCCCGACTGATATTAAAATTAAAGACCGGTGACAGAATAATTCATGTGGAAAATGAACGCTGGTTCCCTCAGTGTCCGATGCAGACCCTCAACAGCAAATTTAGGGATCCCAGCACTGTGATCACTGCGATAGCCAAACCACAGTGTTGTTACAGTCACTGATCTTGCTTGCAGCACATCACGCTGAGCAAGTCGGACTAGTATGCTACAAAATAATACAAAGTCTCTCTGAATAGAATACAGTTTCTCCTCAGAATAACTACAGTGTTAGTCACAAAAGGGTGAAGAGTTTGGAGAAGGCAGGAGAAGTGAACAATCTAGGACAACATAGCTGACTTGGAACAATTCTCCAATTCATCTCTCTTTCCAGTTCAGCTATGTTGTCCTAGATTGTTCCCTTCTCCTGCCTTCTCCAAAACATTCACCTTTTTGTGAATAACACCAAGTATCCAAAGCCCCTGTGAATAAAAAAAAAATAACCCTTTAGTGCCCCCCTAGATTGAAACTTTTTGTTTTTAAAGTTAAAATAATTTATAAAAAAAAGAAACTATAGTGCCAGGGAGGCTAATAAAGAAAGGAGACTAGCATACCGCATTCTAAAATTATATTTCACTGCTTGTATTTTGTGACCTATAACTCAAACTGAAATCCCAGACATGATATACCCTCTAAATCAGGAAAAATAAAATAATTCATTATGAACTACTTTTGTTAACTACACCAATTAGGTACACATTATTATTGCCAAAACTGTGAAAAATTTGTTTTTGTTTTAATATAAAAATAAGAATTGATCTATGCATATGTCACA